TGAGAAAGGTGGGTGGCCAGGAGTGACTGTGAGAATGAAATAAAGATGAGCAAAGGCAAATAACATATTTCCACTGTCTGGCTAACTCACTAGGAGTTCCAACACTTTATGGCTGTTCATTAGCTTTTTATGAGCTGTTAACAGTGGAAAGAGAAAAATATGTAAACACATTAAAATACTATCTACGTATATTTCTCCACCACAGCCGGGCGACCGGACAGACAGATGCGTCAGGAGCTGGGGAAAATCAACACTGCGGTGAGTGAGCACTGTGCCAACTTGGCACCGTACCAGTTCCTGACTGCCTTCTCCCAGCTCATCTCCAGGGTGTGTCACTCCAGCGACGAGGTCTTCACTGTCCTCATGACCATAGTGGCCAAAGTCTTCTTGGCGTACCCCCAACAGGCTATGTGGCTAATGACGGCTGTCTCCAAGGTAGGTGTGTAGGTGTGTAGGTGTGTATGTATCACCTTAATAATAGTCAGGGCCTTGGGTACGGAATCTTTTGCACTTTAATCTTTCAAGGCATTCAGTTCCTCCTGCCTGCATATTTCCACATGTACAATATGAGTGTATATATTGTATGTACGCCGTTGTATTTGAATGCTGACTTTTGTATGTGTATGTTTTTATTTCCTTAACTATACTTTTGGTTTACCAGATTAGTTCCCTTTACAAACATTACAAATCTCTCATTTTGTGTGATTGATCGACCAGATGTTTTAGCACCTGCATCAACTCAGAAAGACTACTTAATTGCTTTTATACAATATATATATATATATATATATGATGTCAAATGCACTCCTGACTGTGTGTTTATTTTTATTTTTTCCAGTCCTCCTACCCCATGCGTATGAACCGGTGTAATCAGATCCTTAAGAAAGCCATCAGTCTCAAACAGTCACTGGAGAAATTCATTGGAGACGCCAACAGACTTACTGACAAGTTGCTGGAGCTCTGCAACAAGCCGGTACGCACACGTACACGCACACAGCAATTCCAAGCTCAGGTTATTTTAGTCTTATAAAGGTGATCTAAACAATACTGTTTGAATTCTAAATCTTTAAAAGATTATATTTTTAACTCAGCAAAGCTATAATAATTGTCAATATGGATTACTGCTTAGCGTCTCTTATTTTATGACACTATTCAGTTGATACTGTAAATGCCTTTGCAGCCACAGCATAAAAGAATAGCTGTTCACATAATTCAAAAGTTCAAAATAAAATCCTCCTAAGTGAATCTGTATCAACATCTTTTATTGTTAGACAAGATTAGATTAGCTCAAATAAACATTTATTGATCTCCTTCAGGAAGTGAAGTGCTTGCGGTAAGGACACATAAAGAGAAACTATATAAAGGTAGCTGCAGGTTCACGTGAATGTGTGTTACAGGTCGATGGTAACAGCACCACACTCAGCATGAGCGTTCACTTCAAGCAGCTCAAACGCCTGGTGGAGGAGCCGACCTTCAGCCAGATTCTGATCCCGCTGCAGTCGGTCCTCATCCCTACACTGCCCTCTACTGGTGGTGCAAACACACAGCACGATGCCTTCCCCGGACACTGGGCTTACCTGGACGGCTTTGAAGACATTGTAAGAGAATGGGAAAAGAGGGGGTAGATTCTTGTCTTCAGTCTGTTTGGTAGGAAGGTGCCTGAGGATACTTTTATCCAACCAAGGTTACAAAGGCATTTTTCAGTCATACACAGACAGGGTCTTAGAAAATCATATTTTATGATCACTAGAGCCTCATAAACCTAACCTCTGTGTGTATGTGTAGGTGGAGATTTTGGCCTCCTTACAGAAGCCGAAGAAGATAAGTCTGAAAGGTTCAGATGGGCGCAGCTACACCATGATGTGTAAACCTAAAGATGACCTGAGGAAGGACTGCAGACTCATGGAGTTCAACTGCCTCATCAACAAGGTTTACTACCTATACTTGTACAATCTTTTTAATGGTATTAATTGGCCCTCCTCATGTATATAAATGTGGACTAAAGCAGTTAGTAACCTCTAAATAGTGTGCAACACCACCATATATTGTAGCCTCATATTTTATAATAGTAAACAGTAATCAGTAGATACATTGATATTGTGTTTATATCATAAGTGAGTCTTTTTTCATCAACTTTTTCATGGTATATGCTATTATGTTCATCATTATATAAATGGATATGCGTGCATACATACAGACACACATTTATCTCCATACTTAACAGGAACATACATCCTTTACAACAGCAGAAAAAGGGGAAAAAATGAATCAGGAAAACAGTGAATTTATCACTTCTGACAATTCAAAGAGGGAAAGGGAATCTAATATTCTGTTTTATATTTTATAAGTTGATTTCTCCATAGATTCTACTTTTCCAGGTTCTTATGTTTGGGTGTGTGATCTTATTTTTTGCTTTATTTCATACAAATATGAATCAATACCTTTCTTACACATGAACAGAAGTTGAAAATGACACTTCATCAAACCTACATGTGTAAAATGCGTCGTGCACTTTAAAGGTGTGGAACAAGCAGTAGTTCAAATGTGTGTTCACGCTTTATTGTTTGTGTGTGTGTGTGTGTGTGTGTGTGTGTGTAGTGCCTCCGCAAAGATGCTGAGTCAAGGCGAAGGGAGCTACATATCCGAACCTACGCTGTGATTCCCCTCAACGAGGAGTGCGGCATCATCGAATGGGTCAACAACACCGCCGGACTGCGACACATTCTCACCAAGCTGTATAAGGAGAGAGGTATCTCCCCACATAAAGCCTAAACATACAGGAAGTGATGAAAAGAAACTGTCAGCTTGATCAGTGTGGTGACATTTGGTCACATTTGCATGTGTGTTGTAGGCGTCTACCTGTCAGGTAAAGAGCTCAGGAAGCTTATTCTACCAAAGACGGCTCCCTTTGAGGAGAAGCTACGAATCCACAAGGAGGTGCTGTGTGCTCGACACCCCCCTGTCTTCCACGAGTGGTTCCTCCGGACCTTCGCTGACCCCACATCATGGTACAACCCACCCCACACCTCTGTGGTTACATTATTAGGGACACTGTTTCACAAGCAGTGTCAATTATCTCACTTAGATGTGTGTCTGCGTATGTTCCCACATTTCAGAGAAGCAGTTTCAGTTCTAGATTGAAAAAGTTTTTGGATGGTTAAACATTTTGTAAGTTTGAAGTGACAGGTTAAATTCACAGATTACATTTTTACTGTGTGTTTACAGGTACAGCAGCCGCTCTGCGTACTGCCGCTCCACTGCTGTGATGTCCATGGTGGGCTACATCCTGGGCCTGGGAGATCGCCACGGAGAAAACATCCTCTTTGACTCTTTCACTGGGGAATGTGTTCACGTCGACTTTAACTGCCTCTTCAACAAGGTTTGTGTTTACCTCAAATTGTCTTAAAGTATACATTGATTAGGCGTCATTTATATTATAAATATTTCAAGAGAAAATCATGGAAATTGTTTTATATATTATTCTCATGTACTACTCAGTCATTTCTCTAATGCTCCCTCTCTCCCTCTCCACTAGGGGGAGACGTTTGACGTGCCTGAGGTGGTTCCCTTCCGTCTGACCCAGAATATGGTCCACGCCATGGGGCCCATGGGCACTGAGGGTCTCTTCAGACAGGCCTGTGAGGTCACCCTGAGACTAATGAGAGACCAGAGAGAACCACTTATGAGGTACACAAACAAATACTTAATAATGGGGTATATCAATAAAACCAAGCTTGAAAAACACTAGGAGTAGAGCAAGTAGCATAAAATGAGTTCACATTCATGTTGAAATCAGTGGACTTCTAATATACTTGACTCTCTTGTCACAAACTTGTATGGTGACTTTTTTAAAGGTTTCCAAATTCCTAATATCTGTTTTGAATTTTTCCTGTAAGTGTGCTCAAGACCTTCCTTCATGACCCGCTGGTGGAGTGGAGCAAACAAGCTAAGGGACTTTCTAAAGCTCAGGCCAACGAGACAGGAGAGATAGTTAATGAAAAGGTATGTGCGTTTCTTGGATTTTGCCTCTGTAACTATGTTTGTATGCATTTAGAGCAGCATGCATGTCTAATATAATCTATTAATCTATAATTTTTTGGTATTTATATCCCTGTATTGTCTTATCTTTCTCCCCTCCTTCTCTGCCAGGCAAAAACCCATGTGTGTGACATCGACCAGCGTCTACAGGGAGTAATAAAGAGCAGGAATAAAGTACTGGGTCTACCTCTGTCTATAGAGGGACACGTCCACTACCTCATACAGGAAGCCACAGACGACAAACTGCTCTGTCAGATGTATCTGGGCTGGGGGCCCTACCTGTAGAACACACACCTAAAAACAAAAAACAGGAAAGAATTTTGAAGGAGATGAAGAAGATTTTAAGATGCTTTCCTGTGATAAAATACTTCAAAAGTCACCTCAAGTGCCCCGATTTGGCTGCAAGCAAGTCTATATTTGCAGATAAAGTACTATTAACACAAATACATCTCCTGCACCCATAACTGTTTGTTGAAAAGCTCTTTATAATGCAATTTTTTTGTTCTAGCACTTACATCATTGTTTAGTTTCCTGTTTTCTGGAAACAAAGGGTATTTGTTTTGCACGCTGTACATTCTCTTGTAATAAAGGATGCGTTTTGCAGATTTGAGTGTGTAGGTAAATGTGTCTGTAACAAGTGTGTCTTCTAATCTCTTAACCCTCCTTGGATTCTCTTTAGCAGTCAGATTGCTTTAATCCCCTCCATGTGTGTTTCCCTCCTCTTGCACATAACCAATGGTCCAATCGGCTCACCTTTTTCACAGGAGCACCAGTTAGAGAAAAGCTTTGCTTATGAAAGCCTTAAGAGGCTGAGGAAGACTGTGTGAGAATAGTAGTGTGAAGTCAGTGATGTGGAATATCTTTTAGTGAGCAGTCATGAGTTCAGACACTCAGAAGATTTCTGTATTTTTTATTATAACTTTTCTCATTGCTGTCAATGCATGGCTGCTGTTGCAGCTTGCTTTTAAATAGAATGCCTTTAATGTTTTAGATTAAGAGGAGCATTCAAAACCAGTACTGGATACTGGCCCTTTTTTTGAGGATTACAATGAGTGACTTTTGTGTTTTTACATTTTGCAGCATGGCAAGAGTCTTTGCAGGACTGTGCAGGGACTTCTCTGGGAAAACAAGTGGACTGTGCAATGGTTCAACTGCAAAAAACTTATTTTTTGACTAACAAAGGAACTGCAGTCAAATTTTATTAGTTATTAATACAGAAAACTACTGAATGTTGAATGTTTTGCAGCTAATTGTCTCGGTTTTTTTCTGTAAATTCATTGAGTGGCGTAGGCTTGAAGAGATTATGCTTTTATTCTGAAAGTGTCAACCGGAAATCTAGGGCGCTCTTCTATTCCTAACATAAATATATCTTTATTAAGGCTTTCTCTGTGTTTTCACCCAGTAAGAGAGTTAAGTTATCTAACATTAAATCCATACATTCAGCTACCGCTAGTTTGCAGTCTAACGTACTGGTATTTTAAATAACTCAGACGTTAAACGCTGCGGTGATGCTCGCGTTTGAGGCAGCAAATTAAAAAGGAGACAACGGTACATATACATTACACGTCAAACGGCCATTGCGAGCCGACCGACCGTTGGTGTACTAAAAGTCTGCCGTTACCGCCAAACCGAGGCTGTAAAATCAAAAGTAAGCGCAGCCAACTTGTCAGAAGCAGCACATGGCCGTAGGATAAACTGTCAACAGTACGCGCAGGTGCTTCCACTTGCGTCCACCTTTTTTGTGCTCGGCTCGTCGGTGTTAACGGACCGTAATCTGGCTAACGGCGAGAGGTGGTGGTGGTGGTGGTTAACGGTTGAGGCCATGACGAGGTCAACTGACTGTTCCTGTCGGTCACGGGGCTTTTTATAGCTAACGCTCGCGCAGTACCTCCAGGACCGTTGACTTCGTGTTGGACCACCGAGGAGGACAGCGCGCGACCTTGGGGACGTTGCCATGGATTTGACGCGGTTGGCGGTGGATGCTGGGCAGTTCATCAACCGGGCGGTTCAGGTACGAAGACCACCGGGGAATGAGTGCTGTTACCGGGGGGATACCGTTAAAATGAACAGTTTGAACGTTAATGTCACCCTAAATAACGGTGTCATGGAGTCTTTGTCTTACAGCACGTCAATGTCAATAATAAAATGATAAAAATAAAAAGTGCGTAGCAGTTAGGTCAACAAATATCTGTTTAAGTGGTTGTATTGTAGTTTAGTTAAGTGTTATTAATTCTGCTCCAGTACACGGGGGAGAGTCTTGGCCAGGCGGACAAGACAGAGTTGGACCCCGGGCTGGAGGAGCTGCTGGCCCGTGCAGACGCCACTAAGACCTGGACAGAGCAGATAATCTCCCAGACGGAGGTTTTACTGCAGCCCAACCCCGGTATTATTTACTGTTCATTTACTATTGCAGTTGTCTAACTTGTCCTAAAAGTCAAATGTGCCTTCTATGAATTGAATTGAATACTCAAAAGTCCTTCATTTATAAAAGCTTAATGCATACTTTTAGAATTAGTTGATGTCTTAATACTTGTTATACTGTATTGCTGTAGATAAATCAAACTCCATTTTAACTACTTACCGGTCTTATCCATGGAGAGAAATTATCTATATATAGTAAGTAAATAAAGGTGTAGATAATTAACCAGTCAAACATTTTGTCCTAATAAACCAAACCACAGTTGTAGCCATGCTCTATCACCAACAAGTGGGCACTATCCATTATGGTCTACATAAAACCACTGATTGATGACTATGAATCTTTAGCTCTGGGACCCAGTATATTTGCCCTCTTACAATAAATGCATCTCCTGTGTGCTCTTCTCTTTGCTTTGACTGTAATGGGTCTGTTCAAATGAATAGGGATGGTCATTCTTTTGAATCCAATTACCTCTGCTAATGGAATTATGAGTGGATGTGGTCTGTAATCTATCAAATAAGGAAACCATTCAGCCGCCAGATATAATAATCTTGTACGTTTATTCATCGAGGATCTCTTTGCAGATCATTTCTTGTTTATCGACTGAGGGGCTTTTAGTCTCTGAAGAATATTTTTTGGTTACCTTAGGTATACCTCATGGGTTTATAGCGAGGACCAGCAGTTTGCAAGTAGCTGCCTGCTGTTTAGTTTCATATTGTTTTATAAAATGTCAGTGTTTTTCCTAGTAGAATATCCTATTAAATATATGCAGGAGGTTAAGTACCCTGTTTATTTGCATGTTAATGGCATGCTTTGACCATTAAATGTTCTTTTAACATACAGTATCCTGACACCCATTCATGTTTTGTGAGATTTGTTTGTGTGCTCAGGTCAGATATTAAGAAGTTATTTGTAGTAGCCCAATGCCATCTACTGAACGAATATATAATATCAAAATAAATACTCAGTGGCTTTTTAGAAAAGATAACCTTTGAACCTGAACTGAGCTCTCTGATCTCCGATGAACAGGAGCGCGGTTAGAGGACCGGTTGTACGAGCATCTGGAATGGAGCGCCCCACCTCGGCCTCGTGCACACGAGGTACTGGGAGACCAAATGATCCAGGCTGGGCTGGAGATGGGGTCCAACACACCCTATGGTGAGCATACAGTAATGTGGATAATGTCGTTCTGAACAATATGGCTTACGTTACAGCAGTAGTAGAGAAAAAACAACTGTGTTTTGTGTTAAGGAATGGCATTGGTCAGGTGTGGAGAGGTTCAGAAGCAGCTTGGCGAGGCAGAGAAGAAGTTTGTCCAAAGCGCTAACATCCACTTTCTCACCCCTCTGAGGAGTTTCACTGAGGGGGAATACAGAGCCATACAGGTAATACACACATAAACACATACACCCACCAATCATAATCACCAATTATTATTATTATTATTATTATTATTATTTTTAAAATGTGTGTTTGTTTGTTCGAAGGATGAGCGCAGGATGTTGGTGAATAAGCGTCTGGACTTGGACATAGCTAATACCAGAGTGAGGAAAGCCCACGAGGCTGACCGAGAGGCCAGAGTGAGTATAGAAACTTTGCCCTTGCCATACTATCATATACATATCAGTTTTCTTCAGTATATTCATCATAACTGGATCAATCCCATGCTTTTCTCCTGTCTGTCTGTCAGAACCTGAATGCAAACCCGTGGGATGACGACTACATGTCTCATGTCTCCTACATGTTCAGCTTCCTCCGTGTTAAATGGCTAAAGGTCAGTGACACTAAAGAGGCACGAACGTCAAAGGCACATATAAACTTGCTGTTTGGTTATTGAGTAAGTCATTTGTCCTCTTCTGTCTCTCTCGTCCAATCAGATGTGGGCTCAGGAAATCGCTCAAGTGAGTTCATGTTTATCTTTGCATGCACACTGGCTTCTGCTGTAATAGAGGCAGACTATGTTAACATTGCAATTATAGAATTGTATAGAATTCATTATGGTCCTGTCACAGTAATAGTTTTCTTTCTGTTGATCAGTTTAGACTTAAGCCCTTCAGGGATTTGGTTTTTGCTAATGGGAAATTTTCAGCAAAAAAAGCTGGACATAATTAGAAAGATTATTTTTTGTGTGTGTGTGTGTGTGTGTGTGTGTGTGTGTGTGTGTGTGTGTGTGTGTGTGTGTGTAGGCAGAGATGGAGCTTAGGATCTGTCAGAGTCTGTTCGATCGGCAGTCAGAAATTACAAGACGGGTTGCGGAAGGAATCAGCAACACTCATGTATGTACACACACACATAGAAAGATAGAAAATAAGATGTTATATCTCTCAAGCTTGGTAAGCGTCATCATTATATGGCATAGGTTTTTTTTATTGCAACAATTATAACATTAACTGTATAAAAATAAAAAACAGATAAATTATTTACTTTAGTTTGTCATTCAAATCTTCTCAAATAGAGAGGATCCAATCTGTAAAAAAGACATTTTATCAATAAAGAATTTGTTTTTATTTTATGCTCCATGTAATGTAATGCAAAGTCCTTTATATTGTTCCATCTGTCTTATGTGTCTTTTGATGTTTTTGTTTTTTTTCCAGACAAACCACATGCGGAGCCTGACTGACTTTGTGGAGGCTCAGGCGTGTTACTTCGACCAGTGCAACCAACATGCTCAGGAGTTTCAGAAACAGCTAGCCAGGTCTGTATTTCTGGTTTACAACCTAAAAACAGTGTCTTTATAGAACTAAAATAAGGTATGGAAGTCCCTTATTGCTTCCTTATGCTATTAGGAATTTAATGTTTGAAGACTTAGTTTGTTTTATCTGAATTCAAATTAATCTTTACCACAAAGAGATATTTGTAGGAGCCAGGACATCTGGTCTCACAAAGAACACAAGACTATTGAGAATAATCTTTAAAGCAAATTAATTTGGTTGGTTATGATTTTGTTTCTTCCAGCAGCATTCCAGCTGTCCTCTGCTCCAATAACTGGCAGTCGGCAATTAGTAATGCAGGTAAACAGCCATCAACAAGCAACCATGTAGCCAATGAGCCTGTCGAGCCCAATCAAGTCATTCCAATCCCAGTAGTCGTCCACCAACTTCCAGAATTCGACCAGGACTCATGGACCGTAAATCCACCGCACCCAACCGAAAGAACAACAAAAGATTCCTCTGTAACCACACAGCCACCTGATCAGACAAATAACAACAATAACAACAATACCTTCTTTACTGAAGGCCAGGCAAGCAGCTATTATTCGGCAGCCAATCGAGCATTTGATGATGTCCGAACATCGAATTCAGATGGTCACCCAATGGCTCCGATCACAGCACTCAGCAGAACATCTGACGGAGCAACAGCTGCAATAACCAATGGTGCAGGTAGTCTGACAACAATAACAACAACCGCTTCCCCACCTTCTGAACTCAGTGGAACATCAAACGAGTCTCACACAGAAGATGCAGTAGCTACTGAGACCTCAACAACAAACGGCGTGGCCGCTGATCCCCAAACAGCCCATAAATCCGCAAGTGAGCTGGCCACCATTAATGGAGAAGATGTCCAGGAGTCTTCGACTGACAGTCAGTCTGTGGTTCAGTAGAGACTAATGTCTGGCAGGCGATTTGAAACCAGGCCAAAGACATATTAGCTGGGATTGGAGCTTCAGCTGATTTAGACCAGTGATAAATGTAGATCCGAAAATATATACACAGACACACAATCATTATAATATGGTACAGTAAAAGTTAATTAATCCCATAGGGAAGATAATGTGAAGTGCTTATTTTTCTAAATGCGACATAGTGCCACAGTAATTTTAGCCTTTAGCCATGTTCATATATTATTCACGTTGTATGAAGATGATGACTGTTGAGTATCTGTCCCTTGTTGTGGCAATGGATGTAATGGATGTCTACCCTGTAATATTTGCTAGCCTCTGGCTGGGAGGCGACGCCTGACTTGACATTTTAATATTTGCAGTGTGCGATTGTGACAAGTTGTTTTCAGTCTGTGAAACTAAATCTTTATTTTTACATTTAGCGAAATGAAAGAACTAACGAAGCTTTGTGCCAAGTGTATGTGTATCTGTGTTGGTGTGAAAACATCAGCTCATGTGTGAGTGTCTCTGTGTGTTTGTTGTGTTTATGAATGTCAGTGACCCATGTGCACTCATGTGTGTTTACAGTTTCCCCAAACCTGACACCTTCAAAGAGAGGTGTTTGTGTGTGTGTGTGTGTGTGTGTGTGTGTGTATATATGTATGTGTGTCTCAGCCACCTCTCGACTTGTGTTTCTACAAGTTGAGGTCATTTTCCATATAAAACATGTCACTTATATGTGCGTTGGGTAGTCCAGCGAGGTGACAAAACACCAAGCTGAACAGGACCTTTATGCTGTGGTATAAAATATGTTTCCTCATACATACTCTGGGTGTTTCCCCCTTTACACGCAGTCAAATCACATATTCACTTTTACCCTTTTACCCCCTTAAAGCCCCCCCTAGGTGAAATGGGCAGTTTCCATTTCCAGATGTTGTTAATTTTCTTCATGAGGGCTGCCCTGCTCTACTGTGGTGTGGGTCCACTCTGGGGACCCTGGATGGAAACACACATATTAATGTAGCACTGGCCTTACTGATGTAATCACCCACCAGCTCTAAGCTCTGCGCTTTTCTCCCAATATGTAGGGATGTGTGTATGTATGGATAGCTGTAATATCCACAAGTCTAGTTGCTGCCAGTTTTAAACTGCGCGTAAATGCAGTAATAATTCAGTCACATATTGTACATTGAGCTGATGTCAGTGCGAGGTTGGACTTTTGCCTTGATTCATGTGAAAATGTGGAAATAAATGTTGCAAACAGTGATGTCATGTCAGTCCATACCAAGTGTGGATTCTGTCTTTGTTCTTGTTTCTATTATTTCCTCAATCAGATCTGCTGCTGGCCATTTGCTAGTGTATTTTCTCATGTACCAGCAAAACCTCCCACCTAGATTTACACACACACACACACACACACACAACCATTTCCAAGTTGAGGTCTTGATCAGGCTTCCCAAGCCAAGTATAGTATTATTTAAAACCATCCTGACACACTGTGAAGCTTGCAGTTAACCTTGGCTTGCTACACTTATTGCATTATTATTATATTAGCAGGATAATGAGGTCTGCTGGTGTATGACATTTACCACAACCCCAACACATGCGGGCATGTTAAAATACTACTCCAAAAACACTGACAAAAGTATGTGTGTATGTGTTTCTCTATTTCCTATCTGAATCTGCAAACAGATTAGATTGATTTAAGCGCAGGTTATGTGCTATTGATCTGAGTACAGTCAGGAGGACCGTGGTTCAATAACATCATAAAGATTTATATCACACCACTATATCAGCTCTGCATTTTGGAGGGGCCACACAGGAGGCACAGCCAGTGCTTAGAGACAGATTAAATACTGTTTCGTTCCTGTTCTTTCCTGTGATTCAGCAAAACAAGAATAGAGTTCTCCTCAGTCTGTCCATGGCTGCTTTCTTTTCCTCCACACTGATACACCAAGTCCTTTTTTTTTTTAATTTCCAGTATGCACCAGAGAGACCGTTCTCTCTGGTCTTCAGCTCATGTGATGCAGGAAGGAAGCGGATGCTGTAATGATGTTTTGCAGGTCTGGCTGACATGAGTGAGTTATGAAAGCAGATAAAGGGAATTGGGATGTTTCTAATTATATTTGGCTGGGTCCTCTCCTCTACCTGAGAGGTACAGACAGATAATACATGTATGGACAGGTACAGTATATTATTTTATTATATTTACCCAAGTAAACCTCACTCATGCTGGAAACCTATTTTGGAAGGGAGACTTGGCCGAGATGGCAGCATAAAACAATTTAGACAAAACAATACAAAATCAGATAACCGGTAAAACAATATTATTATGTTAGGCTAAAGTATGAGGACAGACAGATAATGGAGTCATTAACCATAGAGTTTGCACAACACTGGCCTTAAATTCTTCTGAAAATATCAAATTAATACATTTGAATTCCTTTTGCAGACTATTTTTAGTGGCTGGAGCCTTATTAAAAAACATGAAGGCTTTGATATGCGAACGGTTTTGATTTGGTTACAGATCTCAATGCACTGCAATGTCCAGAGTTCAACACGTGGAGACATTGTGCTAATGCATTCATAAACAACAAATAACCATAACTACGAATCAGTAAAAAGGTAGTGGCAATCTGCTTCCTCCTAGCTTCAAAAGAGAAACAGGATTTGTGTCTGTGCAAATCAGATATATTAATCAAGCCAAATACTAGTTTCAGCAAAATATTAGAGGTGGACTGTAGTAGTGCATCTGGGCAAAAAGATCCACAGATATACAAACCTGCATCATCTGCACAATAATATTAGTTCCATGTGCATTAACACCTAAATTATTTATGAAAAGAGAATATGAAAGTGGGCCAAGCACAGATTCTTGAGGTACTCCATTTAGTACCAGTTTGAACTGTGCCCATTTACTTTGATGCTTTGAGTCCAACTTGAAAGATAATTTCTAAACCGCCTCACTGCCACCTCGGCTTCAGCAGGACAACTTCCATAGTATTAAAGACTTTTCTATTATTTTGAATCCTAACTGGCTCTCACTTTTCTTTTTTAGAAAAGCATTAACCAATAACATAATCATCGCCTAAAACACCCCTTTTAACATCCATATACATGATTATAAGTCTAATATATTCTTACAACGGCTCTATTGTTTTACAGCATACTGTATTTCAATTATATCCCCATGGCTTCCACCCCTTCCTACATATTGGGGATAAAAAAGGATACACCCAGTTCCCATAAAACTGGCCTGTGTTGCCTGACTTTGCCGTGTTAGTGTTAGTGTTAGTATGTGGTTTGTTCATCAGTAAAGTCCTGTTGCTGTTTTAAACCATCTGTTTTTAGCCAAGTTCTGCTGACAACACCCACTGTCCCATTTTCCCTTGAGTCTCTGGTTTCGTCAGGACAAGCCAAACGACAGGATTTGTTTTTCTTCTAATTCTCTCTGAATAAAACTAGTGCTAATACATGAGGAAATTCTCTCCTTAGATCCATCTTTCATCATCTACCCCTCTGTCTTTTCCCTTTCCATCTTCCTCTCTCTGTTATGTTCTCGTCAATCCTTCATCTCTCATCACTCCTCCTCCCCCTCACTGCCAGCTGGGAGTGTTTTGTGTGACAGCTAATTGTAGGTGTGGTGTGCAGGTGGGGGTGATAAACAGCGTCTGGTGGCTGCTGATAAATGTAGCTCTTTTATGGTGTCATATGATGACCTAAATAGACCGATGACCTATAGAGTAAAAGGTGGAAATGACTCAGATGGGCACCAGCGAGGACAAGATGACAACACCAACCTGCATACACAATGAATTTTATATCACATCTGCAAGTTCTAACATATTGCTTTCCTACTTATTATTTATTATTACATTTTATGAAACTGGGCCAAGAATAGGCACACACTCATGCACAGTGAGGTATTTTTGCCGCAATGAGGAAAGGAAAAAAATATAAGCTCTTCCTCTGTCCCTCTGTACCTTTCCTCACCAATTATCCACATCTCCCCTATTTCTCTCTCACTCACTTTCTGTCCATCACTTCCTCTGCAGGTTCCCTCTTTTCCTGAGATAAACCTGCCTGCTCCCATCACAGTTAGTCCCTCTGCTACAATTATAGCCTGCCAGACAGAAAATCATACATAGTTACTGGCAGACATGCTGACATGCAGGGGGGAGCTCGATCGGGAGGTCTACAGAGAGTAAAAAGGTCAAGGCTTTTCCTTTGACCTTGACACGTGCTACTTCTGCTGCTTAACCCCCAACACCTGTTGACCAGAGCTCTCTGTACGAATAAGGTCATCTGTCCTTGCTAAGAGTCCAATAGCTTCTTATTTTTCCTCGTGGAATGTATAATCAACAAGGTAACCAGGCAACAAAATGCAATCATGGCCAGAAGGCACATTTCAGCGTTGCTAGGCAACAAAATTTGATTTCAAGTGGTTAAAAACCAACCAATTAAAAGCTTAAAATACATCCCCAACTCTTCAATGTTGCAACTTTTTTTTTTGTTTAAGGGATTTGGTGTTGATGTACAGAGCAGGGAGTGAGTCTGACTCATCAGTAAAAAGGTTAAGAGTGTGTGGATTGAAATGTCCTGTGGAAACAATGTATGGTTGTAGAGGATTTAAGAATGAAGCACAACAATAGCTTCTTGTAGTGACAAAAAAATTACATATTTTAGATTTTAGTCATGTTTTGCAAATTTTAAAGAAGAGAAAATAAATTAATTTTACAATTTAGGTATATACAGTACCTAACTGTGTGTAAATGCTTCAGTGTTTTTGTGTTATTTATGCAATTTCTGTTTGTGAAGCATGTAAGAGGCTACCACTGTATTTCATTGTACAATGCTCTATTATATAATAACAATGAAGCTGAACCTTGACTGGTTCTAAATCTCAAATATTTAATTATGCAGATAAATATTTAAATGAAGACTGAATATTTCTTTCATTTGTATAGAAAGGAATTTTATGAGGTGTAATTTTGACAGCATGGCTATCTTACAGGTAGAAGAAAAATCTCCAGAAAGACTGTAAATACACAGTGTGCAAATATTTGTGACAGTGTGTGACTAGGGGGCGTTTTGGTATACAAATATCTATCTCTAGCTGTTTTTTGTATCTTTAAAATAAAGTAAGGAAGCATTTATTTTTAACTGAGACTGGCTGAACAGCAGACACAAGTGACATTTCTTAAACCCACTGTAAGTGCAGCGACCAAGTCATAGTTCACTACCTTTAACTAACATTAGAACTGACCAAATAAGGCTGTACAGTAGCAAGAGATGATTGTTACATATTCTTTTTGCTGATTAAGTTCTCTCAAGCAAATTAAACATGTTTAAACTGTTTGTTGTTCTGCCTGGTGGTCCTCCATTCTCCCTGTTTCATTTTTCTGTCTCTCTTCTTCCCCTCCATCCCTTTCTTTCCCCCCCAGCTTTCCCTATACTCCTGTAACTCTCCCTGTCTTTCCCCATAATGCCCCTATTTCCCACTTAGTTTGACTTTTGACATATTACCTCCACTGAAGCATTACTCACACAACCTCCACAGCACCCCATCTGTCCCACCCTCTTTAACTTCCCTCCTTTTCCCCTCGTTATAAACTCAGCACCCACAACAGTTGACTCAGTGTGAAGAGCTTTACATATAGTGAAGGGGGCGAGGAAAAGAGGAGAGCTGAGAAAACTGGGTGACAAACGCACCCGATGTTACCAAGCTACTTTTGTTATATTTTTAAAAGCAACACATTCAGTGCTTCATCATGTCTGCGTTCAGGATCTGGCGCGTTCTTTGTGTGCTTGGCTTTGTGGGTGCATCCTTGTGTGTGAATGAGGTTGAGTATGAAGGAAATTACGCAGACAACTATGACAACGAGATCTCTCAGGATCAGCAGGGGGGTGAGTTTTGTTTATTTATCCTTTTTGTGTCTTTTGTTCTCTGCTTGTTTGAACAGATGCCTCATTGTGGAGTATTTGTCCTCAGCTGCCATCTCTAATTTCATTGAGCCAATAAAATTATTCTCATGTGTTTTGATTGAAAATGTATCAAAACACATTGATTTATTTGTTTTAGAAGTTAAGTAACGGTGTTCTGCAAGGGTCTTTTCTTGGTCCACTTCTATTCATATATACCTATATAACACCTCTGCCGGCAAACATTGTGATGTTCATTTTCTTTGCAGATGATACCATGTTCAGCCATCGTAGAGAGGAATTGCATTTTACATGACTATCTCTGCTGTCTGATCATATTAAAAT